TCAACCTCAGATCCAATGCGTTCACCCTCAGGCTAGCAGGAGAAATCGTCATCACCATTTACCATCTGGACCAACGGACCATTTTCATTTTGATATTTTAAATTTTGTGGATAATTTACACAATGGTGAGAATGGTGAGAAAAGCTTTGAAGCTGTTTTTTTTTTTTTTGAGACAAGATCTCACTCTGTTGCTAGTACTGGAGTGAAGTGGTGGAATCACTGAACTTCTGGAGTTCAAGTGATCCTCCTGCCTCAGCCTCCCAGGTAGCAGGGATTACAGGCGTGTGCCACTGGGCCTGCCTAATTTTTAAAACATTTTTATACAGACAGGAGCCTCCTTATGTTGCCCAGGCTGGTCTTGAACTTTGGGGCTCAAGTAATCCTCCCACCTTGGCCTCCCAATGTGTTGGGATTTCAGGTGTGAGCCTCCACACCCGGCCAAGAAGCACTTTTTAAAATTTTTATTTTTGAGATGGAGTTTCACTCTTGTTGCCCAGGCTGGAGTGCAATGGTGTGATCTCAACTCACTGCAACCTCCACCTCCCGGATTCAAGCGATTCACCTGCCTCAGCCTCCCAGGTAGCTGGGATTACAGGCATGTGCCACCATACCCGGTTAATTTTATATTTTTAGTAGAGACGGGGTTTCATCGTGTTGGTCAAGCTGGTCTCAAACTCCTGACCTCAGGTGATCCACCTGCCTTGGCCTCCCAAAGTGCTGGGATTACAGGCGTGAGTCACCATGTCTGGTGGAGAAGCACTTTTATTAGAAGATTTAATAAGAATTTAAGCAGAGTAAACTCAAACTTTTATTCCGTAATATCCTGATTTGAAGATGTATGTATACAAAATGGGGACCAGCATTGTATGAGACTAACTCCTCATTAGCTGTCATGTGTGAACCTGGAGCATATCCATGTTGTAAATATGGATTTCATATTTTAAATCATCTCCAGTGAATCTGTGGCTTATCAATACTTCTGATTTTTCTTGCACTTGCATTGTCAAGATTCAAAACAGTTGAAAACTCAGTCACCTTTTTTTTAAGAGAAGACTGTCATCTGTTTTGCTCCATAAATACAGAAGACTTTACTTTTAGATTTGAATGATCAATTCCAAGAAATTTTAAATTTCTAAATCATCCATTTCCTTGAATACACATCTCACTTCAACTTTTGTCCACTTATGAAATGTATCAAATAAAACTTAAGTAAATATCATAAATAACGAAGGAACACTATGACTTGTCTTTTTCACAAAATGGGATAGTCTAGGTTCTTGTTACAAAATATTGCATGATAAGGCCCTTACTTCTATGGAAGTCTGCAGAAATATATTGTTTACTTATAAATTACTGGATTTTATAAAATTCATCTAGGTTATCATCATCTGAAGACATAGATTGAGATTTCACATATTAATCAATTTCACCATCAAAAGGAAATGCTGCTGTCTCTTTTCTGTTTAATAATTGGAAAACACATTTCTTTGTCAATTTTCTTCTCTTTGCCCTTTTAGGTAGAAAATGAAAAATTCTGAATTCTTAACTGTATTAAATAAAAGCTAAACAAGCAAAAATCAAAAGACTACAAAAATGGTGTCTCTGGCATTCTTCTTATATACTTTTTTGAAAGATTTTGCAATACTTTATGTAACACAATAAGAAGCCTGGAGGATGATACAATAGTCACTTTTTTTTCGCTATTGAATTACCCTTTAGGCAATGTCATCATTCTTTTTTCTTATTTTTTTTAGTCATTTTTAGCATAGTTGAGAATAATAATAAGTAATAATGAAATAATTCTAAGAATGATGAAAAATGAATCAAGAATTGGAAAAATAAGACAACTAAGATTGCAGAATGTGTTTTCAATTTGTAAAAGGATCTTCTACACCTACATGGTAATTACAAGATAGAATGGGCTGAGCATGGTGGCTCATGCTTGTAATCCCAGCACTTAGGGAGGCTGAGGCAGGTGGATCACCTGAGATCAGGAGTTCAAGACCAGCCTAGCTAACATCACGAAACCCTGTCTCTACTAAAAATACAAAAATTAGCTGGGTGTGGTGGCACCTGCCTGTAATCTCAGCTACTCGGGAGGCTGA